TGGGTTCTTTGCTTAGATAAAAATATGAAAAATGCTACAATAACTTGGATAATTTCTAACCTCCTATTATCTTTTTCTAAAGTAAATGATATTTTAATTTTATTCTGGTTTGCTTAAAAAGTTCCTATCCACTGTTTTTCACACCAGGTCTTTCTCATTTCCTTTACCCACCCCTGCCTTCCCCCATGAAGTTGTCTGATCCTATGATGAACCCTGTACCTCCACCCCGCTCATCATCCCATCTCTTCCATCCCTCCACCCTTTGGATCCTACACATTTTCCAATTCTCTTTACTTGCTTTGTTGGCAAAGTACCCTGTAAGAGTTCTCCAGCAAGCTGCAGGAATTAGAGACTGAGCTAATAATGATTCCGATTTTTCAGTACAAAGCAGACTTCTCGTTGGTGTAGCATCGCCCTCTGGAGACCAGTGGCAGAACCACAACTCCAGACAAGAGCGAATTTTCGTGGCTTTCAGTTTTCTAAGTTACTATATTAAACTTTCCACATAATAAGTTTCTCTCCTCCAAAAATTATGGTGATATTGTTTTCTTTTTTGGCTTTTTCCGTATGACAAGCAACAGATTTAAGACAGGTAGCACTGACACAAGAGGATATTACCCCAAAAGAACATTTCTTCCTTGTCCTGAGTGCTGGGCTGGAATAAAGGAACATTTGCGGAGCTTTGGTGTCTTTGTGGGTAAAGAGTTATGCTGCCAACTCAAATACTAACAAATAGAGAAAGAAATGCACAACCAGGGAGGAAGGGGTGAAGGAACTAGGACACATCTAATGCAGACCTAAAAAAATAAGATGATGGTGGGCATAGGTCCATGGTGAATAATTTTATAAAACATAAGTGGATGGGAATGATCATAGGAAACACAATGAAAGAGTGTGTGAAACACAATGTACATGAATGAACCTGTATAAATTTTGTATGCAAACCAACATAAAATTTACAAAAAGGAACAATCCACTTTTAAAAACAGCATTTATACAAATTATTATATGTTAGCCAACAAAAAATAATACATAGAATAAATCTTCTATTTGGTCCCAATCACTAGCCCCTTCACTGAGCCATTTTATACAATATTTAGAGAGAATTGCCTCTATTCCCCGGGCCTCCAAGAATGGTGCAGCATGAACTGTAATGTCCCTTTCTGAAATTCCTAGTAAAGACTTTGACTTCAACATCAAGACCTCTGTCTCTTATCATTTTTATATCTCTTTTTAAACTTTTCAGATAAATGTTGCTAGTATCTTAATGCTTTGTTCTACTTTTTATTTCTCTGTGAACTTACAGAGTTTTGTCTTTTTAACTACTTTGTTATTTTACTGGAGCTTCAGAAGTAGCAGTTGTTGTTGTTGTTGTTATGTGCCATCGAGTCGTTTGCGACTCATAGCGACCCTATGCACAACAGCCCTAAACCATGCTCTATCCTGTGCCAATCTCATTGCCTCTGACACACCCATCCTGATTACCCCAGTCACTGAATCAATCCACCTCATAGAGGGTCTTCCCCTCCTGCGCTGTCCCTCTACTCTACCCAGCATGATGTCCCTCTCTAAAGACCTGTCTCTCCTTACAACATGTCCAAAGTATGTCAGACGAAGCCCCAGAGTCCTTGCCTACAAGGAGCAGCCTGGTTTAACCCTCTCTATGATTAATCTGTTTGTTGAAAGTAGCAGAGATAAACATTTATGGTCAAACTTCCACTATTAATCAAAATCTGAGATTTGTTTTTAATTGTGCACTCTCTTAAACCATTTGAAATTGGTTTTGCTATGACATAAACAAAATGCTTATTTTGTGTATGTGGTTATGGTCTCTATTAATTTACAGGACCTAGAAAGAGAACATGTGAAAAAACGATAAGACAATGAAACTTTAAAAAACAAAAACTTGTTTTTGTGGTTGTTGTTGTTGTGTGCCATCGAGTCGCTTGCGACCATAGTGACCCTATGTACAACAGCCCTAAACTCTGCTCTGTCCTGTGCTAATCGCACTATCTCTGACACTCCCATCCCGATTAAACCAATCACTGAATTGATCCGCCTCATAGAGGGCCTTCCCCTCCTGCACTGTCCCTCCACCCTCCCAAGCATGATGTCCTTCTCCAAGGACCAGTCTCTCCTACAACATGTCCAAAGTATGTTAGACGGAGCCTCAGAATCCTTGCCTTCAAGGAGCCACCCGGTTTAACCCTTTCCAGGATGAATCTGTTTGTTTTCCTAGCAGTCCATGCTACTCTCAATACTCTTCTCCAGCACCACAGCTCAAAGGTATCAGTTCTCCTTCTAACCTCTTTAGTCATTGTGCAACTCTCTGATTCATAACAAGTGATTGCAAAGACCATGGCCTGTATCAGACGCACCTTAGTCTCCAGAGAGACAACACAGAAACTATGAAACAATCTCATTGATTTCACATGCAAGCAAGATTCTACTGAATATTATCCCAAAACGACTGGAACAGCACACCAGTAGAGAACTGCCAGAAGTCCAGGCTGGGCTTAGAGGGGGTTGTGGTACTAGGGATATTGTAGCTGATGTTAGATCTTAGCTTAGAAAGTAGAGAATACCAGAGGAATGTCTATCTGTGTTTCATTGACAATGCAAAGGCCTTTGACTGTGTGGATCATAACTGTGGCTGACTCTGAGAAGAACAGGAATCTCAGAACACTTGATTGTGCTAATGAGAAACCTATACTTGGATCAGGAGGCAGTCGTCAAAACAGAGCAATGGAACACTGCATTGTTCAAAATTGGGAAAGGCGTACGCCAGGGACGCATCCTATCTCCATACCTTTTCAACCTGTATGCAGAACAGATTATCCGGAAGGCTGGGCTCTATGAAGAGAAATGTGGGGTCAAGATTGGTGGACGATTTGTCAACAACCTGTGTTATGCAGATGGCACAACCCTGCTTGCTGAAACTGAGGAGGACCTAAAGCGCTTGCTGCAGAGGGTCCAGGACTGCAGCCTCCAATATGGATTGAGGCTCAATGTCAAGAAGACAAAGATTCTCACCACTGGGCCAATTGACAATATCAGGATGGATGGTGAAGAGATTGAGATTGTTCACAGCTTTAGTTTGCTTGGCTCCACAGTCAACACTCTTGGCACCAGTATCCAGGAAATTAAAAGGTGTTTTGCCATTGTAAAGTCTGCTGTTAGGGACCTCTCCAAAGTACTGAAGAAAAATACAGGGTAGTCGTGAAAAACATGAAGGGTTATGGGAAAGGGCTCTTCAGAGATAATATTTTTAGTCATCTGAATAGTTATGTAGATGCATCTGAATAGTTGAATTTCTACTGAACTATGTATATACCACTCTCCATTCTTAATTTTTACGCTCAAGGACTCAAATGGAAAAATACCACTTATTGAATAATACACTGATATAGATTGAGTACCTACAACACAAAAAGCAAACGAAACTCTCCAATATTTCCAAAGACACCAAGATATCTACAGTTAAATATAAAGATTCTTCTTCTTTGACATCCTGACTCTTCTACTATTTCTGACAGCCATCTTCAAATCCATCTACAACTCCTCTTCTATGCAAAGAAAAGTGTAGGGTAGGAAGACCCTTGATGAGATGGATTGACACAGTAACTGGGGCAATGCGGTTGTTGTGTCGGAATCAAAGACTGGCTCAGGTCGCAATGGATCGCAGGGGACTTGTAGGCACATAACAACAGTAGCATCGTGGAAAAGTCCCAAAGGTGTCAGAAAAGCTACATAATTTCGTTGCTAATAAGTTGTGCTTTATAGTTTCTCCCAAACAAACACCAAAAATCTATAGATGAACAACTTCAGCTACAAGAGCTCTCCCATTCTGATGTTTGTTCATTCCCTCTTAACACCTTTCCCAATTTCTAGCTTATTGTCGTCATCAATCTTTTTTTTTTATTTCTTTTTCTTCATAGTTGAACATTTGTTCCCTCTACACTCCCCCCCAAGCACCCAACAGTGCACTAATGCACTCCTTGTTCCAGATTGTTGTCATACATACAATGCCTAATCATATGTTCCTTTCTGTTCTAACGCAGTGCTCATTATCTATCCACTCTTTTTCCATTCTCTCCCCAAACCCTGAATGTTTGTTCAATTTCATAACAGTAATGTTATGCAGTGTTTGTCTTTTTGGGACTGAGATTTTTTCACTCAACATACGGTCCTCTAAGCTTCCCCATGTTGTGTAATGTTTTACAAGTTCATTGTCTTTCAATGATGCATAAGCATAAGTTTTTCTATGCATGTGTTTGTTGATGGGCATTTGGATTACTTGCATTTCTTTGCTATTATGAATAATGCAGCAGTAAACATGGGTGTGCATACATTTGTTTGAGTTGCAGCTCTTGTTTCCTTATATTGGTATATTCCCAGTAGTGGAATTGCTGGATCCAGTGGTATTTCTATTTCCAACTTTTTGAGAAAGCATTACTTCACTTTCCATAGTGGCTATACCATTTTACATTCCTATCAGCAGTGAAGAAGAGTTAATCTCTCCATGACCTGGCCAGCATTTGTTGTTTGCTGCCCTGTTGAACTTGATGGAACGAGATGATATCTCAGAGTTGTTTTGATTTGCATCTCTCTCATAGCTAGGGATTTTGAACATTTCTTCATGTGCTTGTTTGCCATTCATCTTTGGTAAAAGATGTGCCCATTTTATAATTGAGTTGTTTACTTTTTTCTTGTTAATGCTGGAGTAGTCTATAAATTTTAGATATAAGTCCCTTATCAGATATGCGATTGCTAAATAGTTTTCCCCAGTCTGTAGATTTCCTTTATACTCTGTTGGAGAAGTTTTTTGATGTGCGTAGGGATTTGATTCTTAGACGGTCTCATTCATCCATTTTATTCCCTCTTGGTTGTATGTTCTCTTCAATCTTAAATAAAATTGTGTGTGTTTAACTTTAAGCTAAAGATTCAATGGTAAAGACACTTTTTATGAATAATAATTCTGTACATTTTCTAAAATCTAGTCAGATGCTTCTTAGAATGAAGAGCTTCCCTTCAATCCTACACACCTGTGTAACCACAGTCCTCCCCATTTCCTGTCTGTGCTGATGATTCCCCGAGAGGTCCCTGCAGGTGGGTTTCTTAAGCAGAGCCCTAAGTTTCCGTGCATCTTCCTCCAACTTTTCTCTCACTGTGGCTTCTCTCAGTGCACATAAATACACTGCTGAGTCCTCCAGCCGTAAAGCTGAGACGACAAGATTGATGGATTTAGCTTCTTTTTGGAAGTTCAAGGAGTAGCGACCTTCTGTTGCATTTTGCTGGTTGTAAGATTCCTGACGAATAAGGAAAATCATCTGTCCGTTGCTGGGCTGCTTGTACCAAAATAGACCAAAATTTCGTTCATTGGTATCATATGTGCAGGGCAGAGTCACAGTTTCTTTTTCCTGCGCCCTCATTACCTGTTGATCTTGAGTTACCTTCTGGGAAATACTGAATGCTGTAAAGTGGGGAAGGGGGGGAAATCAGAAGATTTAAGAGGTATATGGTGTAAGAGAAAGTAATTATATTTTCAAACTTACAGTTCCCGAAAGACATAGACTGTGTCTTCAATATACAGGTCTTTTGCTATTGTTGTTGTTAAGTGCTATGAAGGTACCGCTACAACTCATAGAACAACTAGTGCAGACCGATTCCCACTGGAGCAATTCCTACCTGGGTACATTAAAGCCATGACCACCTCAAGCAAGCTGGAATGCAACATGGTAGAACTTGTGAGGGGAAATATCTTGACCTTCAATTTCAGAGCTTTGTTCTGTCAGGTGAGATCCTTTAAAGGATGAGAAAAGAATTATTGTGTTGTGCTGCTGCTGCTGCTGCTGCTGCTGCTGCTGCCGCCACAGCACAGGAAACAGGGCTTTTCTAGCACAGCAAGTTGCTGTGTGTGTCATTTCAAACTTTTGTGTCCATTGGCTATGAGGTTAGTCCAACCCAAACTCTTCTTGGAACAATCAACTCTTCATGTTATAACAATTATATCTGTAAATAAAACTGAGTAGAATTTTATGTTAAAAGAAAGATTGACATTAGCTCTGTTCAATACATATTATGGAACTGGATAAGAGGACTAATTTAAAAATAATACCTTTCATTGATTGTGGAAATACCATAGAGTTAATAATCATGAATCTTCACACCTCTGTTTGTTAAATCTCCAACCAGCACATTAAGATCTTCAGTTCTTATACCACCCAATCTGCTGCTACCACATAAAATCCACATTGTTCCCCTACTTAAAGTATCTAGAATTTTTCTTACCATGTGTTTACTGTTTATTAAATATTTTCATTTCACCAACTCATATTATTCAACTACAGAGAGTCAAGGGAAATTTCATGAATACGCTTCTGTTGTTCAAGGAATGCCCATGTCCAGCCAGAATAGATCTTTTGAACCCTCACATGCCACTCTTGAATTGATATTAATTAAATGTCACCACATAAAAAAATAAGGAACTCAAGAAATATTATACAAAATTAGTTACCCTGGAAGACATTATGCTGAGTAAAATATCTCAGTCACAAAAGGACAAATATTGCACAGGGCCACCATTGTAAAACAACACTAACATCGAGGTTAAGGAAAGACTGAGAAAGAGGGGATAAATGATGTATACTGCATTGAAACAGATGAGAGAGAACTGTTAAAAAGGAATAAATTGTTAGGTATTATTGTCATGACAGGAGTCCAAAATGAAGAATGCACAGTGGAGTGGACTTGGGGGGAGGGATTTTATAGCAATGAAAGAATTTTTTTTTTTTACTTTTCAAAGAGAAGAGTGATTTAAGGGGGGAGGGGTGGACAGGGAGAAAAGTACAACAATGAGTGAATGGAAACCCTAAGTCTCTGTAAACTTTCTTTAAAATTAATTTTAAAAAACACACACAAAAATAATAAAGGGGGCGAGGGAAACCCTGTAAAGAACAATACAAAATTGGTAATACAATAGCAGTTCAAGAACATTTCTAAAACTCAACACCTTAGCAGATGCCAAATGCCTATTGATTGCATAGTCAGTAAAAACAAACACTTTTCTGGCATTCTCCCCTTTCAGCCAAGATTCACCTGACATAAGCAATGATATACCTCATCACACAGCCTCTTCTGAATCCAGGGTAAATATCTGGCAGTTCCATGTTTATGTACTGTTCCAGCCATTTTAAAATAATCTTCAGCAAATTTTACTTGGATATGATATGGATAATAGTAGAAAATAGAGTATTAGAAATGTCTTGACTGTTGCTATTAAGGGACTGTGGATGAAAGTGAAATAAACTGTTGACATTTTTAAACTTTTCTCAGTCTATAATGATGTTTCCTATTGGACCACTAGTGGAGATATAGTTTTTCTTGATGCTGAGATGCAATCTCAGCATCTTGAAGGTTGTAATCTTTAATCTTCTCCAGTAAGTGTATCAAAATTCCTTCACTTTATGTGAGCAAGGTTATGTCTTCTATACAATGCATGTTGTTAATTAATCATCTTCCAATTCTGATGTCACATTCTTCTTTATATTCTAGCTTCTCAAATTATTTGCTCAGCATACATATTAAACAGGTATGGGGGAAAGATACAATTCTGATGCATAGTTTTCCTGATTTTAAACCTTGCAGTATTCCCTTGTTCTGTTCCAACAATTCTTTCCTGTTATATTTGTATGTTTTGCATGAGTACAATGAAGTGTTCCCAGATCCCCATCCTCCTCAATATTATCCATAATTTACTATGATCCAAACAGCCAAATGCTTTGCACAATCAATAAAATATAAGTGAACATCTTTCTGGTATTCCCTGCTTTCAGTCAAGACCTGTCTGATATTAGCTATGAAACATCTCATGCCACAGCCTCTTCTGAGTCTAACTTGAATTTCAGGCAGTTCCCTGAGGGTGTATTTTTCCAGTCATTTTTTAATAATTTTCAGCAAGAGTTTTCTTGTATTTGATGTGAATGATACCACTGAAACTACAGAGTACTAGAAATGGAACAGTTAGAACAACTGAGAATATTGACCTAGTTAAAAAAAAAAAAAAAAGAAAAAGAAAATGTAACTGATGTCACTAAACAACTTAGGTAGAAATTCTCAAATGGAAACCTAATATTGTATATACTTTCACTGAAAGGAAAGTAAAATACTGAATTTTAAGAAATAAAAGCATGTACAATGTCCAAAAATGAATTTAAAATTTTGCGTTGTTCACTTATCTCATTTTAATTGCTCTACAATCAATTAATTAAGTAATTATATTCTGTGGGTATAAAAAATTTTAAAGTAATCAATTACTAACTAAAACATTAATGGTTCAGATCTACCCAGAAGCACCTAGAAAGAGATATTTGATAACTAACTTCTGAAAACTCGTTGTTGAGAACTCTATGAACAGAGTTCTCTCACCAAGAGTCAAGCCAATTCAAATGACAACTAGTAAGAAGACATTTTCTGGAACAATTGTGCAAGTTTTGAAGCTGTACTGCAATCCCAGAGTTACATGGTTCGAATCCACCAGATGCTCTGCTAGAGAAGGAGGGGCAATCTCCTCCTGTACCAGTCAGTTCTGATTTGATGGTACACACACACACAAAAAAAATTGTGCAAGTTTAATACTCACTTATAAATTTTTCTCTTTTATCATTTCTAATCCTCTCATACTGGTGGCCTAGTGGTAAGACACTGTACTGCAATCCCAAAGGAGCACAGTTCTAATCCACTAGCTGTTCCAGGAAAAAGAGGGACCATCAGCCTCTGGTGATTTGCTGGCTCTGAAATTCCACTGAAGGGTCAGCTATGGGTCAATTCTGGATAGATGGTATATAACAACTACAATCCTCAAGTAAATGAAGAACAAATGAAATACTTTATCATATATCCTAAGAAGAGTCAATGGCAAAATGAAAGAAATCATAAAACATTTGAAATGTTGGAGTACATTACTGGCCTTCTTGTTTATATAGTTTAAACCTAACTTAACCTAATAGCCTTCTTCATAATAACAAGCCAGTTATATTATAACTATCATAGACCAGACAAGAAATCATTCCTACAGTACAAATTGTCAGTTGCATTCACCCTTGAGAGTCTTTAATTGAACAGTACAAAGACAGAAAATTGCTATAAGTTCAAGCTGAATTTTGAAGAGACATGGCACTGGAGATAACCTTGATGATGTCAGATGGATCCTGGCTGAAAGGAACAAATACCAGAAGAATGTTTATTTGTGTTTTATTGACTATGCAAAGGCATTTGATTGTATGGAACATAACAAATTATGGCTTACATTGAGAAGAATGAGAATCCCAGAACACTTAATTGCGCCCACGCAAAACCTATTCCTAGACCAAGAGGCTGTTGTGTGAACAAAGCAAAGGAAGATGGTTTAAAATTTAAAAAGATGTGTTGTCAGGATTGTATCCTTTCTCCATACTTACTAAATCTGTATGCTGAGCAAAACATTTGAGAATCTGGACTCCATGAAGATAAATGTGGCAGCAAGACAGGAGGAAGACTCATCAATAGCATTTATCATACAGATGACACAACCTTGCTTGCTGAAAACAAGAAGGACTTAAAGCACTTGCTGCAGAATATCACACACTACAGTCTTTAATATGGATTGCATTTCAAAGCCCAGAAAATAAAAAAATCTCATCACTGGACTATAGGCAACAATCATGATAGAGAAAAGATTGAAACTGTCAATAACTTCATCTTACTTGGATCCACAATAAGCACTCTTAGGACCAGCAGTCAGGAGATCAGGAAATATATAGCAGTGGGAAAGTTGCAGTAAGAGACTTCTCCAAATTATTGAGAAGCAATGAAGTTACTTTGAGGATTAAGGTTCAGGCCATGATCTTTTCAATTACTTCCTATGCTGGAAAAATTGATTCCTTTGAACTGTGGTGTTGGAAAGGAGTCATGAATATCTCAAAGTCTGCCAAAAGAACAAACATATATGTCTTGGAGAAGGTGCAGACAGAGTGTTCCCTGAAAGCAAAGTTGATAAAGCTAACATACTTTCAGCACATTGCTAGGAAATGCTATTCCTTGGAGAGAGACATCATGCCTGGGAAGATGAAGGGATAGTAAAAGAGAGGAAGACCCTCAATCAGATGGATTGACTCAGAGACTGCAATCCTGAGTGTGTCAGAGATTGTGAGGATAGCATGGGATAGGACAGGGTTCACATCTGTTGTTCATAGCGTTGATATGAGGCATACTTGACTCAATGGCATGTAATAGTAACAGCAATAACCCTCAAACAAGGGGAAAGAATCAGGGAATTAATTATTTTTGCGACTTATTTCTTTACGTTGATTTATATACAATTGGGAGACGGTAAACATTTTCTATTTTTAAGCAATAAGACTGCTATGTTAAATCAGTCAAGTTTAAAGAAGTATCTGGGAATATTGAAACACTGGCTATAACAAATTATACTTTAACTCAAAGGTGGTGAGTTCAAATCCCCTCAAGGCTCTGTAAAAAAAAGAGTTGCAATCTCCTCCAGTATGATCTATAACATCCAAAAAACTCATGGAGGATAAGCTATGAGTCAGTAATATTTATACTGGAAAAGTGATACTTAAATTGAGAAATAAAGGCATAGTTAAATTGGAATATATTCCATTTTAATAATAAAATAAACAATTTCAGAAATTATATTCTTCAAAAATTCATTAATAAATTAAATTCACTCACAAAACT